CATCACAACCAGCCAAAACTTCTATGGATCTCATAAAGATCATGCGTTTAACATTGAAGTTGTGTTAGGAGAAGATGAAATTAGTATCGAGACAAAAACATAAAATAGGCTGACTTCTCTTTCTCCAACTCTCGTGGTCTGATCAAGGGTTAGTGTTTCGAATGACCAGTCCAGGCCAACTCATAATGAGCTAATATTTGCGAGTTTTTTATTAGTCGAGAGTGGAAAATATAGTTTGTTGCCTGATCCAGAGTACCGGTACATGAGCTTACCAGACCATGAACGGTTTTGATAGCTAACGAAATGGGACCACAAACTATCTGCATTCGGTAACCGTGTAACCTGTCAGAATTCAAAACGGATTTGTATCTTAGGCCTGGGACCGGGAATCGTCCCGGTTTGACTTCATCCAGTGGTGGAATAGTAGCATGCACTGGGTGGGGAACACGTCTTGGACATCACAAAGAAGCAGTGAATCTCGGGAGAAAAGTTATCTACTGTAGAAACAATCCCCTTTTGTTTTGCGAACAAAACGAATCCCTGTCTGACAATTTTTCCTGTGCAAGCACATCGCATGCACTTTGAAGCCTTTTGTTTTTCACGAGTGAACACTGTTCTTCAAACTATCGTTACGTGATCAAATTCAGGCATTCATTTTTATGAATGAACAATTTTATTACGGAATCAGTTCATGTTTAACTCAATAATTTCAGTAATTATCTTGGTGAATTATTTCTACGCATATCTCAAAGCACAATGATCATGGCAATCTCTTAAACTACGGGGACAGATTTCAGTCTACCCAATGTGAACTTGTAGCAGTTTTATGCACCGGGACGGACACATTTTCAGCATTTTACACGATACTTATCGATACAAATTTACAAAATCATACGCAGAAGAGAAATCGTACATAGGTACCGCCTTTGTCAATGAAAAAAGTAATTACGTAATTAATTGGAACCTTTCGCTTCATGAACGAGTATGTATGGTAAAACTGAAGTACCATGTGAAGAGATATTTGCAAAAACGTTTGAACCTTGATCTCTTGGATGATGCCCATACAGCTTTCCGATAGTTGGTTGTTTTATCGATGATGCATGTTTGAAAATATTTCGGAAACAAAACTTTCACTTGCTTGTCGATGTCTTTCCTTGATAGAGGTTGCACTTTTATCACTGGTGATGTCAATGCATTTAGAGATGTGTTTTAGAGATCTCGCCAGAAAACAGTCCTTTTCAACATACAGAGAGAAAAATCACTAGTGGAGGAGGGCGCATGCATTCACGCGCGTAACAATCAAATTAGAGAAAACAGAAAGTACTTTTAATCTGAGTGAGAAACATAAAGTCTTTCTGACTTTACATAATTTGTCTAGAACATGCAAAGACCATGATAAATTATGTGATAGTGTGTCGCCAATGTATGTTATTATTATTGATTTCGGTATTGGTTCATATCCTACTCAAAGGGCGGAAAACCTATGTGTGAGGTCCAACACGGAAAACAACAATATCCTGACATTTTGAAACATTCGAAGATAGTAAACGCGACATCATTTAGCTTGCTTTGCATTTCTGAAGCCTCTTCAGAGGCAGGTGCTTCGCATACTAACATAAAATGGTCCATTTAATTAGAGCCAATAAATGTAGAAGGAGTGGGAAATTGTTTGGCATACTTTGTAAAGAATAATTTGTAGAACATTAAAACGTGTAGAGGGTTTAGTATCGTTTAAGCACGCCAAATCCCTTCCATCCGAATTTATCGGTAAAACATCTGGATCAACACCACTTTTGGTAATCAGATTGTGCCATACCGATCTATCACGACTACCGAATGCGTTTTTTGTATTCTACGAGTGCCACTCCTATATAGAGGCGAAATTATTGAGTGAACAGGGTATGCAAAGGCATCGAGTGTTGAACGCAAATACCGATATGCAAATTGATGTGTCATTCTCGACAGGCTCAGTGATAACTCATCGTAGCAAGCACCTCTCAAATAATTTGAGCATAACTGAGGTGCACGTTATGGGACGATACTTACCCGGTTCCTTTTGATCAACGGGAGTTATTCTGGCTAGTCTCCGAATGTTAGGAACTTTTCAGCTTATCAGATAGCCATTAAATATGCTGGAAGTGTCCGCACATACCTTGAGTACCACGGGCGATAGTTCATCCGGACCACATGCTATATATATCTTCATATTCTGTAGCTTTCGGAGGACCGTGGCCTGTTTGATAGTTGGTTGCAGCATTAAACTGTCGAAGTCTGGTAGAGCTGTACACTGTGAAATTGGGCTAAACTCTGAATTGATTAAGTCTTTCAACATTGACAGCTTCCTTTTTGTGTTCATCGATACTGCCACACAGGCATTTGATAGCTCTTCCCTTGGAATGGTAACTGAAAATTTTCAAGATCTTATGCTTAATTAATTTAAACGATTGGTTTCAAATTAGATAGAAATTTTAATCCTGCTTATAGACCTGTTCTTTCCGTCTGCGAAGCTATTTTAGTAGCGCCGATGAACATCTATCTGCATAGATATGGACAGTTTCAAGCGGGCAACTTTAGTTGAGGCCAAAAGTAACATACTCAATAACTTGTTCACAGAGGATAAAAATGTTCATCACCTGGAAACACCGAAAAATCTGTTGCAGCAATCAGCGATCTTGGCTCTTCGAGGTTCTCCAATGAATAACTCCTTTGACCCATTTTTGTGGATGGTCTTTCTAACATTGTGTGCCGGTTAGTTTTGCGACACACACGTCAAAGTTGCAATGATTAGAGCTACTCAGTGGAGTGCGTATCTGAACTTTGAAAATTTACAATCAATTTGTAAAAACAAAGTCTGGTTAGTTATCGAGTCTGATAAGATAGTGTACCAAATAATGTAAACCCAGTGAGGTGAGAAAGTTATCTCATGTGTATTAGCACCACCAACATATACAAAAAGAGTCGCTCTTCCGTGCTATGATGGAGGAAGAAAAAATATCAGAAAACCTATTGCGGGCGGATGTTGATATTACGTGTAACGGGTCAATGTTTCCTAGGTGCATGGAGCGAAACCAACTAAAAAATAGGATTACATTCAATGACGTGGCAACTGATTTAATTCATGGAATATTTGCAGATCACAGCAGTTGTTTCACTCCAGCTGTTTTCAACGTATCTTGCAACACCGACTCGGTTATCGACACTCAAGAGACGGTCAAACCGATACAAATTATACCCATCTAGGTAAAAAAGTAAGGCACACAAGCTCACATACACGCATGATTGGAGCCGAAACTAAACTATTAGGACTCGAATCTCTCATTCCTTGTTTATTCTTATTGTTAAAAAAAATAATTGTGAACTTCATCGTGCAACCGTGATTTTTTCAGCATAATAATACCAAGGATTTGGTACTCCTCTTTTGTGCTATTTCTGCAACTTTGTCGACTTCCCTCAACATAGAACGAACGACTTTTACTTGTTATAATTGGAGGAATTTGCCTTTTTCTGGTATTTCACTGCATTAGACCGATTTACCAACCGGTGTGATATTTTCTTCCTCAGCCAATGTTTTGTTTTGATAACCCGCTTGAACATATTTTTCACTTTGTTGGGACAATTCAAAAAGTCTTCGGTTTGAGCAATAGCGCACAGATTTAATAAACTTGCTCGTGTAAGATAACATTGATGTCCTTGAAAATGATCAAAATGCGATTAAGGAAGAATAAATCCAAAAAAGAAGTAAGATGATTTTGGAGCTAAATGGCATGGCCTGATTCAGAGGCCTCGCCTCACGCATTATTTCTAAGCAGTGGGCGTAGCAACTCGATTGAGAAAACGATCAAAATTTATGAGGTATATCAATTAGTTCTGCTCAACTCCCGGCTGTTATACTCCACAACACAAATAGGGNACAGCTACATGATTGCAAAAAATCTCACTCAAAATGCTCGTGTAAAATATATATATATTGACAATCTCTGATTAGCAGGTACTCTACTCTATAAAGCTGGTCTGTACTGGATCGGCTCATAGAAAAAGTGGAAGTTTGAGCAGCTGCCCGGTGGTCACGTGAGTAGTACTAAATTTGACTGATGAGACCCCGGGCTCGACAAAGCGATGTTGATAAACTCTAGCGAGATCAAAACGGGTATCCATTGATTCCGAACTTTTCTTTAACCTTTCCTTTTCTCTCCGTATAAGACGTAGTTAGTCTAAAAAAAACAAAGCACTGGACAATGATCTATTAGATACAATCAAATTACTTTGTGAGTCAGTTAGCTATGTAGTATAAATGCATAGATATAGTTATTCTATTTCATTGCAATACTGAATATGTCGAACTTCAATTGAGGTGAATTATAATTTACTTATCTCAACTCTCAGTTGAGTAATTCTGCTCATGCACACGAGTTCACCCACCGGCCAACGCAAACTGCATATTGATGTGATGCAAAGGACGGTATTACGATATCAAGCCAGTCCAGATTTCCCTAATCAACCGTAAACAGAGGGTTATATCAGAGACATTTGTGGCGCATTCCACCCGAACCACGTTTGACTCAGCCATTGCGGTGCTAAGCAAACGACGTTAATGGGTCACAAGGGAAACTGATACACGAGCACACACTGAACGGCAAAGATTATCGCAGGCGAAAGTTGGATGAATCATCACCTCGTTCACTGTGAGGTGCGCCAAATTATCGAAAAGGCCGACCACAAAAATAGCGTTAAACAAGAACCCCTGCAGACCTACATGAGTTGTTCACTCAGTGAAATCAAGAAACCCCATTTAGACAGAACCCTGCTTAGTTTATTGCATCGAAAACATAAGTTACTGTACTGGAGCATTCCATCTATTTAGATTGGTGGAGCGTGGGTTTGAATGCGGTGTGAAATCTGGGAAGGAGTACCATACTTGAGTAAGGATATAATCTCCGTTACCATGAGGCGTAGACGTGAATGCCTTTATTTTCAGGCGTGTTGAGAACAATAGATTTGTATCAAACAACACTCACAGACACCGTTATACGTACTTGATTCAATGAACCTTTCGCGAAATTGACCCTTGAAATCTTATTGATCTGCGTTTTCTTGTTTTCCCGAGCAGCATTGCCCGCACGCTCGAGCACCTCAGCGGCCAAATGCTCAAGCACTGCAGCCAAGTAGACCGGAACACTGGCACCAACAGGCTCCGCATGGTTGCTTTTTGGCAGCAAATGCTGCATACGACCAACCGGGAATTGCAGTTCAGCATGGGCTGACTGTGTCTTTGCCTTCGCACGTGATTTACTGCCTTTATAACGACCGCCCATTTTAGGCTATGCCAGAAAAGCGTGTCGTAAACAGTGGCGTTTGTGCATCTTCTCATTTTCTTTGCAACCCCAGATTACTGAAATTCTCCATTTTCTGTCAGACTCTACTTTCAACCTTCCTGTCTTTTTCCTATTCCTCATACAAATGGGTCGCCAAAAGACAGCAACCAAAAACGCCGCAAGAAGGTGCATGGTTAATGATTGTGCACACTAAACTGAACTGAACAATTGGTTTGCTCATTTCTTCCTGTCCACATGACGTCGTATTCCCTAACCCCGAAAGCGAGTGTTAGCAACCACATTCCTTCAATAATTCTTGTTGAAATTGGAGCAGCAGATGTTGTTCAAATGTGCAAAATTTAAATAAACAACAAGTTTATAATCAAGAAAAATGTGGAAAATCAAACCGGGCTACACAGGAGATGGTAAAGTTATCTACAATTTAAGATTTGTATGTTATATCCGTCAGTCAATCGATCTCCACGGTGTCCTACCTATAATGTTGCCATTTGCACATCCTTTTTGTCATGGATTACCTATATTGAGGTTTGGCAACTATCAGGCTTGTGTCGCTCTCAAAATGTTACTGACGGGAACTTTATGACTTTCCCACGGGTGCACACTAGAAGTCTGCCAAGAATGATCATGTGATCACTATCTGTTTTTACTTTAACAAACGATCAATGAGCGCCTTATACTGAAATGTGGGCCCAGATGCTTATAGAAGTTGGGCGAATACGAGCCAAAGCATTTTTGAATCGTCATCGTAAATTGCTGACGGTCGAACCGCTGCACTGTTGTCTATGTGCGAAATTCACATTTTACGTCAAAGGATTATGATACCTCGGAAAATATATGGACCGTTTTGCATCCATTACTATTCGACTTGAAGTGTTTTTTGATAAATCAAACGACACTCAGACTTCGTTGCCCAGTTGTTCGCGAATATGGATGAATGCAATAAATAAATGATTCCATGCGGAAGGTTCAGTTCGGTTTGTACAGCCAATAACCATGTACTTTCGTGCGGCGTTTTTGTTTGCTGTCTTTTGGCGACCCATTTGGATGAAGAATAGGAGAAAGACAGGAAGGTTGAAGATAGCGTCGAACAGAAAACGAACAATTTTAGTGATCTAAGGTGATAACACAAATAGAAACAGTTTATCTTCAGATGTCAAAAGAAAGATTGGATTTAGACAAGTGGCTTGCTCAACACCGAAGTCTCGAATCTCTCTATGAATCACTGTATCGGACAAAACAATATCCTCAAAGATAAGTATGTATAAACAAAAAGGGAAATAATCCTTGATACGCTGAGCCGTGTTTCACCCCACATCTCCGGAAAGCCACAAAGATTCGGTAGTGGTGTTGAATCAGTTGATCGATGTTGCCGGTAGACAGTCGTAAACACTGGTAGGTACGTCTCTTGAAATTGTAATAAGTAGTACGCATTTGAAATAATAGTAGTGATAACAATTGCTTAAAAATATACCATATAAATATTTTAATGATTTTCAAATTTCGACGGGAAAAGTCATCGAGGATATGGAAAATGAAGTGTGAACTGGAAAGCTAGGAAGCGGTAGAAAGCTGTTTCGACCTGGTTAGGTCTCATCAGCAGTGCGAATCAATCGACCCAACTAGAGGTCGAACCCGGGCCTCACAGGCAGAAGGCCAGCATGCTACCCACTCGGCCACCGGGTAGCTGATCAGACCGTTTTAGTTGTAGCTCGATCGCACTCAGATAAAACTGGGTTGTGCCTTTACTGCGTTACTACACCATCGGAATGGGCGGGAAGTTTATCAATGGATATAAATGGAATTTTGTGCTCAGAAGTATTGCAACTTTCTCTTGTTTTTCAAAATCATCTGATGATTTTTTGTCAATGCTTCGAGGTTTCGTTCACAGTGCTCATTATCTTCCGCGACTAAGTTAAGAAACATGAGTTACACCATTATACCATTTCAATGCAATTTTTGCGCCGCACCTGCAAACACCAGCTTGTTACATGGGATTATCCGCTAATGCACGGAGTCTGCAACACGTCGAAGGGGTATGCAAGTTCAGTTTGAGTGAGAACAAGATAAGACATGGTTCAAAAAGAATTGAAAACCTGACGTGATGATTGCAAGACGCATTGCGCTGTTGATGATTTGAGGATTCCAAAGGCACTCAATCCCTCCCCCTCCCGAGAAGGAGGAAAGAAAGAGGCTGAAGGTTTTGCCCACCAAGTGGTATCCCATTTTCAAAGTGAAGGTAAATTGAGGTGTGTTGTTGAGTGGACGGAGAGGATTCGGGAGTATGGAAACATTTATTTTATGAGCAAAATGCTGTTGAATTTTGCACAACGCAAGATACAATAAACTGGGTACAAGGTGACCAAACAGACCAGGAAGATACAGATATTCCGGATTTGTGATCTGAGTCTGTAGAAAGTTGAAAGTTTGAAACAACGTTTATTTTCGAATAGATAGAGATATATTTTGGAAAAATGGATAAATAATAAATGGTTGTTTTGCTTCTTTGTTCGTGTAATGTACATTTAACTTTCAGAGAGTAGACCGATGCCATAACATGGCTGCCCAGGGAAATTCAGAAAGGGCTAAAGGNGGGGGGGGGGGTGAAATTCACACACCAGACCGGCAGGACGATATTTGGATGATTCTAACCACTCGACCATCACCGGTGCAACACAGAGAGATAAAGAACTAGATATTTGTTTTTACATTTTAAGAAACTCTACTGTGCGCATTTCGATCTGAAAATAAGATCAGCTTTGAATTTATTCCAACCAACAAGGACGGTAATTCTAAGATCATTTCTTCCGTCAACATAGCTTGTGACAACTTTGAATATCACCCAATTAAACGTTGTCAAAATGTTTGACTAACTTATTGTAGCCTGTCTAAAATAGCACTACCAAGCCCAGTGTACACCAAACATTCAGATCGATGAAAAATATTTACAAACTAAACATTACTGGTCGAAAGGTCGTCAGTACACTCTTCATCAGGTCATATCAGCAAAACCGTGTAATATCTGTAGCTTTATATGAATCATTAGTACAAATGTCAGTATTCCGTCGAATGAACTGAATCAACTACCTTATTTATGTATGTTTGATGTCCAATTCACGCTCAATGGTAGGCTGCATTAGATAGGGGAGGTCTTGACCATTGGATCAACATTATGATCGATTTTCGCGTGACAAAACATGAGAAACCAATCCCTCATCCTAGATTGCGTGTTACACGCACGATGCGTGAACGGTATTCTCTAGACGATCGGCTCAGCCACGGCTTGGATACACTGTTGAGCAAGTATATTTCCGTTGATTATGACATAACATTCACAGTGGAAATGAACAATGAACTGATCAGCTGGGCGTATCTCAGTCTTTGATTAGATGGCTTGGTGTAACGATAAGTGTATGTAAAATCAATCAATCAATCTGCAAACGGTGAATTTTCGCAAAATTGTGCATACCACTGGAAGGGAGAAGGAGCTCAAGGTTTTATTTGAGACGACCATATGATTACGGTTAAAGGAGAGAATAGAAATTTTGCTGTCTTCTTTGGTGCGTATTTGTTCAGTTGTTCTTATGGGACAATGCTCAATGGGCACACGATCATGCATTTCTTCAAACGTATGTGTGGCTACCAAGCTACTTGGTTAAATGCTAGAACCGGGACAAATCACATTGTGCACGTCGCACAAGCTTTCCGCTCCCCACTTGGGGTTCTGTTTCTATCAGCTAGACAGAACCGATTAGGTAAGCTGGTCATAGCCGACGTGGCGTGAATTCGTCTGAAAAACAATTTGTGCATGCACTTCAGGATCCCAGTCCCGCCACTTCCCACTCCACACAGCGAGACATCAAACGTCTCGATGAGTATGTACTGTACGATAAGCGAACATTGAGATCAATGTGAATTTCACATCAATTTTAAAGATGGAGCCTACAATTGACAATTAATTTTTGCTACCCCGCCCACTCACAAACCATTTCCTTGTGTGACAAATCATTTATAGTGATATACTTGACATGATTATAAAAAAAACTTGTTCGGTTTCCATTTTATTTTATGTTTATGATCGGTTGAAATGTTCAAAAAATCTGATTCTAAGACAAAAGAAATTACTAGTTCACCTTATGAAAACATCAGGTGGCTTGTAGCGTAGAAAATGTGTACGGTATCTATGCACAGGTTTGAATCTCACAGTTCACTACTACCCTCCTCCATCTGCATAATAATCTAATCTGATTGTCAACCATTTCCAGTGTATGATGTAACGTGATTGAACTATTTCATGCACTCGACTGCAGGGAATAAGTAACATCGTTGTTCAATATGCAGCTTGATGTGATAGCTTCAGAACCAAAGACGAATAGAAATTTAACCGAACAACTAGGTCAAAAGTGATTTCCCGAAAATATGCATTATCTTTGATTCATTTGGATGAAACAAGTAACATACTGTGAACAGAATTGGTATTGATCATCAATGTCGCTGTCCGTCAATTTTAAACGGGTTGTAATATAAAAATAGGATACCGTTTGTATAACCATCTTTGTTCAAGAGCAGAAAATGTGGTCAGAGGAATTCGGAAGTGGGCGGATGAGGAGGAGAACAATGATTAGAAAAAAGTCATGCAAAGAAGATGCTAACATAGAAACAGTTACGTATTGGAAACTGATTAGCCATAGAGGAGAGAAATGAAAAGAGATCACACTGTACTAAAGATGAGAACAGTTCATTCAGATAAACTTTAAATTATTAAAACTAGAATAGAAAAGTAAGAGAATAGAAAACCTTAGTAAATTAGATCGGTGAGGAGAGCTACGCATCATTGAAAATAAGAGAAATGATATGTGAATAATTAACTGAGGGAAACGCCGAGATTAGTGGAA